GTTGTGAGGGGCTGTGCGGGGCGGGGCGAGGCGGAAAATGGTCCCTGCGGAGAGAAGTCTGGGTAGATGGGGTGGAAAGAGGGAGGAGAAAGCCCTGAAGGGGGGGGATCTCCCTCATGCCAAGGGGCTGTCCAGGCCCCCTTGGTGCGGGGTGACCCCCGCAGCCCTTCCCGGGGAGCGGGAGGATGGGCCGGAGCAGAGGGAGCTCTGCAGGCCGGGCAGAAATGTGTCTGGTGCTGCTGAGAGGGGGGCTGGCAGCTTATCTTGCTGAAATAAAATCACCTGCTCTCGCCGATCGTGCTCGGCACGGTATAAAATGTGTGTTGACCAGGATGTTTCTGCCGCTGGGGTGGGAAGTTCTTGCAGCAGCAGCTCCCGAGGTGCTTGGTGAGGGTACCAGCCAGTCTAGGCTTGACCAGACTTCATTCCCTTGTTGCTCTTCAAAACCTGCAGTGAAGTGGTTGGGTAGCTCGTCGGTATCCCATTGAGGAGGAAGAGTTGTTGGAAAACTCTTAAGGAAGTGGTGTGACATGGTTTCCCCCTCCACAGGTTAAAGGTTTTAATGGAAGAGCCCAGTTTCCTCTCTGCTGTGGGAAGGGCCACGGGGAACATCTGGAACACTGAAGCTTTAGCTTTACTCTGTAGCTGGCATTAGAATTCCCTGTTGGGAATTTCACACTCAGCTGAGAAAGTGGTCACGGCTGAATTCCTTGCTGTGTGCAGTTCCTCAGCCTCACCAGTGACTTCCTTCTGGCTTTGTGTTGCTCCTGAGTAGCAGAATAACTTGGTAAACTGTTAAATCCTACAGATGCTCTTTGGAATCAGTGTTGGGATATTAACAAAGCTGCTGGAAACTGGGAAGAGATTAATTTTATTTTCCAGAGAGGCATATTTATACCAGCCTGTTTTAAGTAGCTGGCTAAAATGCTGCTTCCAGTTCCTTGACAAGAGCCAATATAGAACACTTCTTCATTTGTCATGACAGCAAGAGTGAAATTAGTGCATCAGGCTTCTTTCTGTCAATACAAACAGCTGAGCTCTCAGGATTGTCTGTGTTCCACATCCTCCTTTGCATGAAGAGCTTTGGGTTGGGTTTTTTTTTCCCCCCCTGCTCTTGGGAGTGGGGGAAAAAACTTGTCAAGGGATTTGTCATGTTACAGATGTGTGGTCACATCTAGTTCACCCTGCAAAGTGGAGATGTTTGGAGTTGTGTGGAAAACCTTGATGTCGTTGTTTCTGTTAACTGGGACTAGTTAACTGTATGGAGTGTTTTAGATTTCCAGGATGTATTTTACACTGCTGAGAAGGTAGTTTGTGGGTGGCAGGTTAACAGGCTCCACTTTGTAATGTTTACAGGATCCTGGCAGAGACAGTGTGTTGAGCTGCCCATTAAGTTTCTCTGCTCTCAGTGTGGGGCTTGTGAGCCACATACTTTGAATGCTTTATGAGTAAAACGACCCTCTGTTTAAATACAAACTGTTTTCTGGAGAAACTGAGCATCTGAATCCTTTTTTATTCATGAATTCTCCAGCAGCTCTCATGTAATACATCCAGCTTAGCCTGGGACATTAACTCTGCAGTTCTACTGAGGAGGAGGGATGAAATACAGTTTTCCCATCTCACACTTCAGATATTCTGTCCTGTTGTTTGACTCCTGAGCTGCCTGTGAGATCAGGGGGTGGTTTTCCCATGTGCCATGTTTCCTAGCAATCACCTTGGCCATCATTTTCCAGGAAAGGTGTTTCTTTTGTGTTTCTTCATGGCTGAACATGGGTAAGAAGTGTGGGGATTTCATGCTTTGATTTAGGAACAGAATGCAGCTGGGTTGTAAAGCTGCTACTGCATTTGTATCATGGCCCAAGTTGTTCTCACTGCTCAAAAGCTCTGATTACACTTTTACATACTGATTTTATTTCTTTTTTGCTTTGCCCATTGCACAGGGCAGCTTCTCTGAGCAGCAGAGGTTGTGTCTATTTTGTGTCAAATGCAGAGCTACAGTGAACGTTCAAAAAATTGTTTTAGAGTTCCAGGGTTGGTGCAGCCTCCTGCAATCATAGTTTAAAAACAAAATAGCAAAATACTGCACAATACTACATCAAAGTATGAGAAACTGGTTTAAAGTAGCTAGCAGGAGACCCAGCCTCTGGTCTGTCATTTGTTTTCACCAGACAACATCACAAAACTTGCCCACTTTTTCACTTTGTATTTTAAGGATTGCACAGTGTGACTTCAAATGTGAGGAGAAAAAGTCCTCTCATGGCAAGAGGGGTGTGGATTGTTTTGGCCACTGAGCCATCTTTGTTAAAATTAACTCCTTCTGTGTTGCTGTCCTGAAGCAAAACTTCTCAGTGTTTTGCTTTGGTGTTGACCTGCTGCCCAGCACCAGCCACTTGCACTGGCTGTGGTACCTCCTGGATGCCCAGAACTGCTCCTTTTTGCACTAAAAGTGATTTTTTTAACAGGTGGTAGTTGTCAGCATGGGCTCAGCTGGGTGGTGACCAAGAGTTGATCAAACATCTAAGCTAAAGTGCAGCTCTGTGCTGCAGAAGTGCCACTGGGGCTTTAGTCAGCTAGTAGGACATTTGTCTTCTGAGGACTTTGCCCTCGTTTAAGTGGTGTAATTATGTCATGGTTAATTGACAGGTTATTTTGATCCAACCATGTCAGATTCTTTCTCTTTAGGACAGTGCTTTTAATGGTGCATTCAAATGGATAATCAGGTAGCAAACCCAGAGATGCAAGCAGGAGGTTCCTCCTGCAGAGCAGTGTCAGGTACTTGTGTGTTCTTACAGGCCAAATTTGCTTGGCTATGTAGCTGAACTTGAAATACCAAGTTCACTGGGACACTGAAGACTTGCTTGGAAAGAAACCTCTTTTATCAGTGCCTTCCCAGTTTATATGGGGGAAAAAAAAAAAGGGTGTTCCTCAAGTATTGCATTTCTTTTTTGGCAGATGTTCAGGGTGGGGTTTTTTAGCAATTAAACAGAAGTTTGTTTCAAAATCAAATATGAGTGTAAAAAGAGAGGTGGATTTTTTTTTTTTTATAGCTATGTGTCCCTGAATCATGAGTTCTCTGCAATGCCTAGTTAAAAAATGAATTATGTTTATGAGCTTTGTTGTGTTTTATAGGCTCAGCTGTATAAAAATATCATGTACTTTTGCTAGTACAAAGATGGGAAGTGCATAGCTGGGTGATTTTTATATTAAACATTAAAGTATATTAAAGTACTTCTTATATTAAACACATTATCAACAGTAACATTATGAATTAGTTGTATCAACACAACTTTTTATATTAAAAATTCATCTGAAGGTCAAAGTTCATAAAGCTGGCCCCCTTCTACAGGGAAAGAAAATACTTCCCAACTTTTTCACAGGTAGTTTGACAAACTGTGCTGAACTGGTATTTTGTGTAGGAGGAAGGAAATACACAGTTCAAGCAATATTCTTAAATAAAGAAAATATTTAAAACCTGCAAGAGCTGGAGTGGATGTGATCACTGGGGGGTGCAGGTTTTAGAGCAAACTCACCCTTTATTGGAGGGGGTTGTCAGATGTTCTTTGGTGAGCATCTTCTTCATAGCCACAGATGCTGGTGCCTGGATCCTGCTGATTCACTGGTACAGATGATGTGCTGTGTCCACCTAAGCATAACTGCAGTTCACTTTTACAGCAGGACAGTCCAGCCAGGCTGTTTCCTCTTGTCATGAATTCAATGCTACAAAAACTACTTTGATTTTTGTTTAGTGGTATTACAATGTTTACTGCTCTGGTTTCTATGAAATAACTTGAATTTCTGCTTCAAGTAAATACGCTGAAATCAATGTTCTTGGTTTTGCTCCTGTTCAGGCCTTTGCACAGTTTGATGCTGAAGGAGATGGCACTGTGGATGTGGAGAATATGCTGGAGGCTCTCAAGAATTGTAGTGGAGCTAATCTTCAAGGGGAGCTTAGCCATGTCATCAGGCAGCTGCAAGCTTGTTCACTCGTTCCAGGTATGAGAACAGGGTGGCAAAACAAATGGTTTCCCATTTGTCCTGCCCTGTAAAAGGGGAGCTGCTTCAATATACTGCTTTCATAATGTTGTTTGTCCTCATCTTCTGAAAACCATCCTCCAAGTCATCCTTGCTTGTCTAGTATGAAAAAAGTGAAGTTGCTGTGAATGTAAAATATCCCATAATGACATCCAGCTAACTCATTTTAATAAATAACCAGTATTTTCTTCTTTGGGTGGCTGGGGAGCTGCTTATCCTTGTTTGGTTTAGCTCACAGACAGAAAACAGCTCCTTGTAAAGTTCTGGGGAGTGTCTAACTAATACTGTGCTTGGTAACTGGGGGAATAAATCCTCCACTGGGTCTGTTTCAGTTGATGAGTCACATACTTTATTGTGATTAAGCATTTGAAATCCTGCTCAGACATAACTGACATATTATAGCCTGTAATTTGGCAAGTGTCAGTGTCCAGAATTTGATTTCTGGGTTAAGTATCAGTTACTGACTTTCCTTCCAAGCTTTTGATGATAAGTGGCTAAAGGGGATTTGCCTCAGAGGATCAGACAAGAAGTGTTAGAATTGGCTAATAGACCAGCCAGAGGAGGGTACTTATGGGGTACTATTCCATGGATCTACATGCACTGGGATTCAGAGCCCACTGTTGAGGAGCTGAGGTTTCTCACCAGGTGGGTGGAGGGCACTAGGCACCTCTTTGGGAACAACCCACAGTTCCCAAGTGAGCTGCTTGGCATAGCTGAAGGAGAGTGATGTGGGTACATCAGCTCGTTAGCCAAGCAGCATCTCTTCCACCTTGGTATTAAATGAAGGGTTTGGAACTTTGGGAACAGCAAAATCACAATAAGAACCAAGATTTTGAACCCCTTCAGGAGCTTCAAGTCAATGGCAAAAATGTTTGTCTGCACCTTTCGCAGCTCTGCTGCAGAGGATGCAAACCTGAGCCACTTCATCTGGTGGAAGGTGGTTCCAGTGTTGGCTCCTGTGCCAGAGGGGGGGGAAAAGGATGACTTGGTCAACAGAGTTGTTGCAACAAATAGAGAAATAATGTCTCTTTCTAGGTTTTATTGATATATTTTCTGAATCAAAAGAGCGTCTTGGTCTTCACGCTTCCATGATCCTGAGGTTCTTGCACCGCAACCGGATCTCCAGCTCTGCCATCCCATACCCAGTGCTGGAGTACTTCAACAACATCTGCACCATGAGGTCCTCTGTCCTGAAGGATTCCTTAGATCGACTTCTCCTGAAGGAGAGAGGCATGTAATATTTGGGTTTTTCAGGCTGGTAGTGTAATCACAACTTGAAGAGAGAAGAAACCCCTTCCTTTTCTGTTTCACAGACATGACTTTTTGTGAATTCCATCTGCATGTTCTAGTGGTTTGGTTTTTTTTATTGTTTGAGGCACATACATTGATTTCCTAACTGCCTGGCAACCTGCATATTGGCCCTTCTGTGGAAGTGTTGAAGGGCAGGTTGGATGGGGCTTGGAGCAACCTGGGCTGGTGGGAGGTGTCCCTGCCCACGCAGGGGGGTTGGAACTCGATGACCTTGAAGGTCCCTTCCAACCCAAACCTTTCTATGATGTGGTTCTGCAACAGACTTGGATGTTTTTAATCTTCTGACCTGTTTCAGAAGGATGATTGCTGATTTGTGACCGTCTCTGTTCAGTCAAATATCTCTACTAGTTGCTGGAAACTTAGTTCCCATGTGAAAGGGAATGTTTTCTGAAGCTGAATGTTCAGTACTATCATTTTGGGCTGGAGGAAGTGAAACTGTTATTGTATTTCATCTGGGACTGTCCTGGTTGTCTCCCTAGAGAAGAGGACTCCTTTTTTTCACTGCTTGACTTGATATTTTCAGATCCCTGCACCTTTATTGAAACAGATCGAGTTACTTGGGAGAAACAGTCTGCTTTGTCCCTTCCCTAGAATGGCTGAATTGAGGTTTCCTCCATCATATTTTACTTTTTCCTCTCATCTGTTTGCACTTTGGCATAACAATAATACAGCACTGATGATGCCAGTAATAAAAGGAGGAGATAATGAACTCCAGGCAGAGTAGGTGCTTTCATACTGCCTGTGGTAGATTGAGATGACTGTGATTCCAACTGAAATACAACTTGTCTGTCTTCTTCAGGAGCTGTGTTCTGTGCCAACAAGTTGCTTTCCATGAGATAATGATTATAAAGGCATAATCATTCTAAAAAACAAGCAAAATAGGGATGTTCTGAGTGATTTCTTTTCTTGGCAGAATACCCCAGTGACCTGAATGGCAATCAGGAGTCAGACAAGCTGAAGTCTGTCACAAAGTGCTATACCCACATAGAAACCTCATCCAATTCTGCAGATATTGACAAGATGACCAATGGAGAAACAACATCCTTCTGGCAGTCGGATGGGAGTGCTCGCTCACACTGGATACGGTGAGCCACAGGGGAATGGCCAGCTGAGCTTTGGAGTAGTTAGTTAGTTAGTCCTTAGGCCAGTTACAGCTAGTGGGGTGCAATTGAAAACCATTTAATGAGTGACAGATGAATACAGTTGAAAGCAGAAGTCATGCTCCAAGTTTAAAGGCCCAACTCACCAAGTTAGTGTTCACCTGTAAAACGCTTGTCCCTGGCACAGCCTTGTTTTGTAGCTCAGCTTTCCAAACTGTGGTACAGGTGCAGTGGTTAGTACTCAGATAGAAGCACTTTGCCACTGTCTGAAAAATTACTGCTCCACACAACAGAAATGTGTAGTGGTTTTTAGTAGTAGATCTAAAAATATATATGTAAAAAATAAAATCCTTTTGGTTGTTATTGGTGCTACGTTTTTATTCCTGAGGAATTAATTCTCATCTGGAAAGCTGAACAATAGAAAATTTTTCAGCCTCACTACCAGAGGTGACTGTCTTTTAAGTCATTTACAAGTTTACTAACTTGTCTGCCTGATACAGGGTTGATAATGCCAGTTAAGCATTAGATAATTACAGTGGATTGATGCCACGGAGATAATCCTGAGGGCTGGAGCAGCTCTGCTCTGCAGACAGGCTGGGAGAGTTGGGCTGTTCAGCCTGGAGAAGAGAAGGCTCCAGGGAGACCTTAGAGCAGCTTCCAGTGCCTGAAGGGGCTCCAGGAAAGCTGGGGAGGGACTTGGGACAAGGCCAGGGAGGAAGAGGACAAGGAGGAATGGATTAAAACTGGAAGAGGGGAGATTAGGTGAGACATTGGGAAGAAATTCTTTAGTGTGAGGGTGGTGAGACCCTGGCCCAGGTTACCCAGGGAGGTTGTAGAAGCCCCCTCCCTGGCAGTGTTGAAGGGCAGGTTGGATGGGGCTTGGAGCAACCTGGTCTGCTGGGACGTGTCCCTGACCATGCAGGGAGGGTGGAACTAGATGATCTTTAAGTTCCCAAACCATTCTGTGATTCTATGATTACTTTTGTGAAGGCGGAAACTGAGCGAAAGTTCATCGAGAGTGAAGCGCTTGACTTAACTTCTTGCAAGAACACTTTGCTCTTCTTTTTCAGTTTAAAGATGAAACCAGATATTGTTTTGAGACATCTGTCCATTGCGGTGGCAGCCAATGACCAGAGCTACATGCCACAGCAGGTGACAGTGGCAGTGGGGAGGAATGCCAGCAGTCTTCAGGAGGTCCGAAATGTTCACATTCCAAGCAATATCACTGGCTACGTAACACTGTTGGAAAACGCTAACATTAGTCAGATGTGTGAGTCAATAAAGATCCCCTTGGTATATTATTCTGTTGCTTTTTTTGGAGGTGGAAGGTTGGGTTAATCATAGGATGATGTGTTGAAATGTCAGCCCTTAGAGCAGAAACTTTTGAGCTTGTCCTTGGGTCAGGGAAGCTGTTTAATTAATTAAATTAGTTTAATTTCTACCAGAGTCTTCTCGAACTTGGGCTAAATGTTGAAGAGTTAGAATGGCTAAAGATGCAGTTTTAGCCTCAATTTGAAGGCACTGGGCAATTTGAAACTATCTTTGCTTGCAGAGTGAAAGCATTTGTTGGGTAATAGCAAGAAAATCTGCTTCTGAGCAACTTTTTTTTGTTAGTCAAACTATGAAGTTGGTCAGATGACTTTTGTAAAGCAGGTTTTTCTGGGAAGAATTTTAAAGTGGTGTTATTTTTAAGTCTGGTAAACCTGGGGGTGCTATATTGGAATCAACTGGAGGAAAGCTGCTCCTTCCTGAGATGGTTTCAGCAGCTTCAGAAATGTTGTCCCTTTAGTTGAAATAGATGCTTCTTACTAAGCTGAACTTTCACTGCCACAGAAACAGGCAGCAAGGATGTTTTCCCTCAAAAGTAACTGGGACAAGGTTAGCCATGCAAAATGTTGAAGAGCTTATGGGAAAATTTTTATATTCTCTGTCTCCTCCACCACCACTTCCAAGAGTAGGTATGAAGGTGCTGGTGAAATCATCTATAATTTAGTTCCCACTTTTGAGGGTCCTTTACTACTTTCTTCCTAATTTCTAGCTGTACAATAAATAATGGATCACCATGGAAAGGCTAAATTTTTCAAAATGTAGGGTGTCCAGTGAAGAACCATGTGTGTCCAGTTTCCTCCATATGGTGGGCACTGTTACTTACCTGCTGCTGGTTTTCTAAGAGGTTTATCTGTAATTACTATTTAGAATCTCTGGACTCTTCTAGACCTAATCCAGCAGAAGAAATGAGGGGAGAGGGGAAAAATACATCTCTTTTTTTGTTTCTTTTTTGTTGTTGTTGACAGATGTACAGATAAACATCAAACGTTGCCTTAGTGATGGATGTGACACCAGAATCCATGGGCTGAGGGCTGTTGGTTACCAGAGGGTGAAGAAGGTGGGAGTCTCTGTGTGCGACGCCTCCGCTATCTGGTACTGGTCTCTGCTGACCTCTCTGGTCACAGCTTCCATGGAGACAAATCCAGCATTTGTCCACACCATTTTACAGAATACTCAGTAAGTCCTCAACTTCCACCACCGTGTGTCAGTTATGAATGAATTCATTTGTAAAAACCCTTCCAGCTTTTGTAAACTAATCCACCTTGTTTAGCTGGTTTCCACTCCCTGTGTTCAGATGTTGAAGGATCTTTTTTAGCTACTACACTGGTTATGTTTTCATATTTCTGCTTTTATCCACGTGCATGGAGTGGAACAAGTGTGATTCTCCTACATGTTGTAGATGATCTGGTTGTTAAGCCATGACAGAAGAGTCAAAATTATTGTTTGACTTGTAATAATGTAGAGAAACCTAAAGTTGAGCAATAAAACTAACAATTAATTCTAGATCTTGGCCACTTTCCACTTAGGACAGGAGTTTCCTTTAGCTTCACTTTCAGCAAATTTTTACTTCCCTAGAGCCTTGTCATGGATTGTGTGGGGAAAAGAGTTGGGCCTATGCAGTGTCTCTGAGCAGATGTTTGTGGTGATTGGCCATTTTCTGTGTAATGTTTCCTTGTTTGACTGCCAAACACTTCTGCTGGATGACTTGAAGGATTGGAATCCTGATAAAATCTCTACACACCCACGTCAACATTTATAGAGCTTAGTTAACATGATCCCACCACCTAAGAGCACTGCTGTCATGAGGTTAATGAATGCTGTAGGCTAAAGTCCATCAAGCCTATCCTTAATTTGTGTCATCTGGGAAACCTCTTTAAAGTTAAGATAACTTTATACATGCATATGTCTGAGGAGGGTTCATAGTTCCAAGCTTTGCTAAAACTGGAAGCCTTCATTCTTGCTATAGTTTATATCTTTGTTATAAATAGAAGATGGATCCTAAGGTAACAAAGCCTAAAAAAAATGTTATGAAGGAGAAGTCTTGACTCCAATATCCATGCAGGAATTAAAATCCAGTGTTTGGAACTGTGTTGGAAACTCAGATTTTAGTATTGAATAGAATGACTTTGATGGACCTGCTTAAGACAGCTTAATATTGACAGTATTTTAGGGAATCCAACAAGAATTCTCATCTGAACTAACAACTTTCTCTCTTAGCTTCCATACTTGTTCTGAAAGAATTTAGAATTTCCCTTTACTAACAGGCTCTTGCTCAGTTCTGGAACTAATAAAAATGAAGCAGTACTTGGACCCTAAAATGTTTCTAATGCTGTCAGAGATTTAACTCAAAATGCCTTGGTTAATTTGTCTCATTAAATCTGAGATTATGAAGCTGAGATTCAAGATTATGTAGCAATCACTGAACTTTCCCCACCTCGAGTGCAATACTGGTTCTACCTTTTGAACAAGTTCTCTGTGTAGATAGATTTTTTGCATTCAGAATCTATTTGTAGACACCTAAAAGAAAAAAGCATGAAGATTCAGATATGCAGTTAACTTTAGAAGGCTGGTTTCTCTGGTTCTGTCTGGTTTCTGATGTTATATTCTGTCTTTTTACAAGGAAAGCACTGCAGCACATGCCACCTCTGTCCCTAACCCCAGGCTCTACAGACTTCTCAAGCTTCTTATCTCCAAATGTTTTGGAAGAAGTTGATAGTTTCCTTATAAGAATAACAAGGTGAGATGGTGTTGATGTGTTTTGATGTATTGGGAAGTGGTTTAGGAGTTCAGCCTGGAGAAGAGAAGGCTCCAGGGAGACCTTAGAGCACCTTCCAGTGCCTGAAAGGGCTCCAGGAAAGCTGGCTCTGGACTTGGGACAAGGGCAGGGAGTGAGAGGACAAGGGGAATGGATTAAAACTGGAAGAGGGGAGATTAGGTGAGACATTGGGAAGAAATTCTTCCCTGTGAGGGTGGTGAGACCCTGGCCCAGGTTGCCCAGGGAGGTTGTAGAAGCCCCCTCCCTGGCAGTGTTGAAGGGCAGGTTGGATGGGGCTTGGAGCAACCTGGTCTGGTGGGATGTGTCCCTGCCCATGCAGGGGGTTGGAACTGGATGATCTTGAAGGTCCCTTGCAACCCAAACCAGCCTGTCATTCTGTGAAATATATCTCATTTTTAGTCCCCTGCTCTTTTTTTAATATCTTGAAAAGTCAACAGACATTAAGAAACGGGCACCGTAGATTTTTCCATGTGGGCGTTATTTTAAAACCAAGTCTCTGAGTTTTCTTCTCACACTGTTTTTTTTTTTTCCCCTCCCCAGTTCTTGTACTACTCCAGAGGTTGAACTTACCCTCTTGGCCTTTGCCTTAGCCCGGGGGAGTGTTGCCAAAGTGATAAGTTCCCTTTGTGCAATCACGGATCATCTGGACACCCCGTACAAGGCTTCCTCACTTATCACTTCCATGGCAACAGTCAGACAGAACCTGCTGTATAAATATGGTAAATTAATAATTGCTGGATCCTTTATTATGCACAGTTAAGACAGTTTTCAGCTTTTGGTGGATTTACTTGTTCTGCTGGGGTTTAAAAATACAGAAGGCTTGTAAGGTACTAACTCTTACCAAGAAGATACAACCTGTGAAGCTGAACTGCCCTGGAAGTTGGGGGTTAGATCAACTTTCTGTGATCCAAGAATTGAACCAGGTAGCATCATCTTGAGGGAGGGAACATGGATTTTGTAGGTAGTGGCTCCTATTTCAAGATGGTGACAGTGTTTGGATTGTGTAAAAGTCAAATGATGTCAGATTTTTTTTTTTCTTCCAATAACACACTTTTCCTGTATGTTTAGCCTCCCTTGCTGGTGTCTCTTGCAGACATATGCAAGTGCACAAGTTTGAGATGTGTTTTACATGTGATGTCATTAGCATCTATTTACAATCCTTTATTTTGCCTTTTATAAATCTGAGCATGTCATAAGGGTAGAGCTGTGTGTGGTCTGGTACAAGGGCTGAGATTTCACTGCATTGACTGTTAGATAAAGCTGTATTTTCTCAGGTGTCAACATCTGAGATTTTATCATTAGTGTCTCATGAAGAATTTTTCCCTTTTTTTCCCCTTTAGTATGTTTTGTCAGGACTTCTTGGCTTGTGCCAAAACAGTACATTAATGATACATCAATGATAGTTATGGTAGCAGTATTTACTTTCAAAAGTTTTGCAAGTTGTTTCATTTGTCCTGGAGTAACCACTGCTTTTTTTTGCCAGACAAGAGTGGTATTTCATGCACTGTGAATTCCAAGATGTGCAAAAAGTTGAGCTATTATTTGATGCCATGATTTTCCTTGCCCTTCTGTCCATATCTTAAACTTTAGTTATGTTAGATTACAGTATTTCTTATACTTTGGCTTCTTCCTCTTCTTTTTCTCTGACAATGCTAAAATGCTCGTAGTATTGTTATTTTGTTTTCATTTGTTTTGTGTGTGAAGAATTTAAAGCCTAGAAAATAGGCTTTCTATTTGATGAACTTGATAAAGTGTTAATTTTCTTCCATAGGGAAACCATTACGACTGACTTTGCAAGCGTGTGATGTAAAGGGAAAAGAAGACAAATCAGGGCCTGAAAACCTCCTTTTAGAGCCATGGACTGGGGATGGTAAGAGCCTGGACTTCAAATCCAGAATATTTGACCAGACACAAAGGCTGTTAACAAGGCTTTGGTGCTGTTGCATATATAGATTTGCATTTATATATAGATTTGATACTGCTCGATAGTTTTATCATATGGAAGATCTGTAAAAAAAACCCCAACAAACCCAAACAAAAGCAAAACACAACAACAACCTCACACCACCACCAAAACAACATGTCCATCCTGGTTTTACAACAAGGTGGGTTTCTCAGGAGCCAAGTTTATTGTCATTACAAACCAACCAAAAAAAACCAAACCCATTGGATTTTGTGGGCAATTATTGATCTTCTTTGTGACAGCTCATTGCTGACTTCCATGTAAAAAATTCTAGTAGAGCACATTATGTGGGTGGAAGTCATGAATCACTCACTGCTAGTTTCCCAAATATTGATGGAGAGATAAGGTGGGAATCATTGAAATTTTCACTGACTGCATGTAACTATTAATTCTTGAAAGCCTTGGTAATGCAGTGTTTTTGTTTACTGGGTGCACCCTAAAGGCAGAGGTTGGTGTTTTTTGACCTTGTTTTGAAGTGAAATGCCACCTAATCTTTTTTTTAAAAAATGATGTGCAGTGCTCCTGATAAATAAATGCTCCTGTGAGAGAAAATCAGGCACATTCTAAATGCTTCTTTTACCCTTTTGTTTGCTTGTGGCTGGTGTTGGATTTTATTCTTCAGTTATTTTGTGGATTGTCCTGTGTTGTTTCAGGGCAGTTTAGGGAGCAGTGAGTTGTATCAGTGAACAGAGCCACGAAGCCAAGTTGTATTTGGCAATTACCAATAATCTTTAATGAGGAAACACTCTTGGAAGAGCTGCAAGTGCTGCAGCCCCAAGAGAGAGACAGGCTGGAGGGACCAGTGTGTGCTCTGTGGGAGTGTGAACTGATGTGACACAGTCTTTTAACTTGTCTTTTCTATTTGGAAACATTTCCTAATGAGCATTTCACTAGAAAAACATCATGTTTTTGCTTCCCCCCTTAGTCCACAACCTTATTGTTCTCTTTCAAACCCCTTACACCAGCAGTCCTTCCAACCTCATTCTATTCCCACTGCTGCTTTAGGTTTTCTGACGGAAACTGGGAAAACCAGAGCAAGCATCATTCTTTCTACTGGAACTGAATCTGCATTTCAAGTGACACAAATTAGAATAAAGGTATGTAGTTCCTCTGTTGCTTTTTTCCCTAGTGGTAGAGTTGAATCAGGATATTTTTGTATGAACAGAAATTTGAAATTCATCACCCCTATCACTTACACTAAAGGAAAACCTTAAGGGAACTTAAGGAAAGGTAGGTCTTAAATTATTCCATGTGTTCCAGGCATTTATTTCATATTCCTTTTGTCTGTACCCTGCAATTTAATCAAGCCAGTGTATGTTTTTTCTCTAAAGGGTATGGATTTATTTGGAAGATCTTAGATTTAAAATAGTTTTTTGACTGTGAATGGCAGTTTTAAAGATAAATACCATGTGAGTTCAGATGAAATGTAGAGTCTTACAAATTGTTTTGATAGACATGTATTTTGAGCACCTCGTGTGATTTTTTTAATCTGGTTTAAAAGCAAGATCTTGTGATTAAATGTGATGGCCAAGACAAAACTTCAGTGAGATTTCTGCACCTGAATTAATTTAGGTAAGGCAAAGAAGTAGTTTAATTCCTGGAACAAAGATATGTATTTCAGTGTCAAAAAGGATTAAATATGGATGGACTTTTGGCAAGTCAATTCTAACTGGAGCTGGAGAGACAGCTGAGCTGCTTTGCAGTGTGGTGACACAGGGATGCAGCATTTTGGGGTTGGTTTTGTTTGTTTGTTTGAAATTCAGTTTACAAAATTAGAATGTGCATGAATATGTGGAACTTCCATGTTAGGGTGATAAACGTAGTAAATATTAACCATGTACGTGAGGAGGGTTCAGTTTTTATTACTCTTCTCTGAACCTGTTTCATTTTTCTGGAGGTGACAAGTGCCATTCCAGAGATCCCTCTTGTCAGTTCTTTCCATGATCTTTCTTTTCCTGGGAAAGCAGCACATCTTGCCTTGTCAGCTTTTCAACCCCTTTGCTCTGGATTTGCTTCTTCAGGTGCGTCGAGGTGCCATCGGGGCCCAGTGTGGGCTGGTCTTTGCTTATAATTGTGCTTCAGAGAAGTTCCATGCAGAGGAACACTTCAAGAGATTTGAAAGTTATGACAAGTGGAAGCTGCGGGAATTCAAGCAATTTTTAAAAAGCAGGTACAGGTGGACTTTTCTGGAACAAATGAATGGAAAAAGAAAGTTTCTGTTCGATCTTTTTGCAGTGCCAATTGAAATGCTGAGGGTCACAGAATCACAGCATGTCAGGGGTTGGAAGGGACCTCTGAAGATCATTGAGTCCAACCCCCCTGCCAGAGCAGGACCAAAAAAAACCTAGGGCAGATCACTCAGAAATGCATCCAGGAAGATCTTGAAAGTCTCCAGAGAAGGAGACTCCCAAGCCTCTCTGGGCAGCCTGTCCCAGGGCTATGTCACCCTTACAGTAGGGAAGTTCTTCCTCATGTTGAGGTGGAACTTCCTGTACTCAAATCTGAGTCCATTGTTCCAAATGAGTTAAAAATGCTGCATGATTTAATTGCAGTTTGTTGATTTTATTGAGCTTCAATTGGATGCATTTGAAGAAATATGTATATAACTGTTGTCTTCAGCCTCTTGATTTAAAGACCTCTTTAAAAAGGCATATAACAAACTTTCCACTTGAGGTGCAGATTGCTGATGACAGAAACAATTTATAGCAAGATCATATGTTAATGAGCCTTTATTAAATTACTTTGTGTTGTCTCTGTCTCATCTTTAGAGCCATAGCATCCTAAAAATACTTGGGTGAAATACCAACAGCTCTGCAGCTCTATTTCTTGGTTCCATTCTTTTATATATAGAAGCAGTTGTTCGTGTGATGATTTGGGAGATGATGATCCTATTGGCTGGTTTGAAGTGGAAGAAGAGTGGGATGAAGTTGATGTCAGAATGCAGAAATGCAGAATTGCCCAAGTAAGAAGCCATGAAAATCCATTGGTTCAGTTTCAGGGAGCAGAGACTCATCTCTCTGCTTTGTTTTAATGCCAATTGAAATAAACAACCTTTTTTTTGTCTTTTGTGCAAGGAGAGGTAAAAGTCAATGGGCTTACAGTTAAATGGATGATTTGACTCTTCTTCTCTGAGTTTTTTTAATTGTTTCTCTGTATATATGCACAGATAACTGTAGGGAAATGGTGCTTCAGGATCATGTTTAACACAAAATGATGGGATAAAGCACAGACTACTGGTTTGATTATGAGGAAATATATTTTTAAAAGGCTGACATTGTTGCTTTATTCTAATATCTAGACAGACTTACTTAACTTGCTGCATAACTATAGCATTTATTCTTTCAGAGCCATGTTCTGCAATCCTTAAGGGCCCCTTTCCTTAAGGTACAAGCAGTTTTAGGTTGATTTCCTTGGGGAACATGGGACTTTATTGTTTCAGGAGTTTTTACTGAGTTTTGATTTGTAGTGCTGAAGTAGGAAACATTTCAGGCCCTGCATTTACCTCATTTCTGGAGTCAGTTGTTGCATAGTTCCCCAATCCTTTCTCATTCTGTGGCAATTAGCAGAAGTGGTGGCACAGTTCTAAGTCAACTGGGAATTTTTCTAAAACTGTCCCTGCTTGCTAAGACCTTCTGCTGTTGTCTGTGTGACCCTGAGTGCCTGAGACTTAGGAGTCTGCAGAGTTACTGAGCACATTTGGATGGCAGAACTTGCTGTTCCCTTCAGCTCTGCAGCCTCATTGTTGCAGGTTGCAGAAATGTTTTAAATATTGATCCCCTGCTTGCTTTTCAATGCAGCTGATAATTTTTTAACCTGCAAAAATGCTGTAACTGTAGAGCCAAGGAACAGAGTATGCAGAGTAAATGGATCTAAGTGAATGAATTAACTTTGTAGAGGTCACAGAACCATCACACTGATTTTTTTTTTGGAAGTAAAAAGAGTTCAAGCTCACCCTGAATCTCAGGCTCAGCATTTTAAACTTCTGGGGGTGGTTGCCAGGGAATAAGTCTTGTCCCCTCCACCCCACCTGCAGCAGCCTCCTGCACTTATCTTTTACAAGCCAAATTGGTCCTAACCTTTACCACCCAATCTTGGGCTGTGTTTCTATCCTTCTAGTACTTGATGATCAAGTTCCTGTGCACAAGGCAAGACACAGCAGAGCGACTCGGGGTGCAGGGCCTGAATGTCCTTGGTTACCTCCGGCCTGTGCGAGAGGAGCCCAGCAGCACCATGAACTGCTTGCAGTGCAGGAAAACTGATGAGGATACAGTTTGTGGCACAACTCTCCTCCTGAAGACACTTCATTTCATCCAGCAGCTGGCACAGGACCTGGTATTCTTAGCCCTTGGTTCTTTTTTTAAGCGTTTCTGTACCATGCTGAAAGGAATAAGGCTGTGCTGACAGGAGTTGTGAATGGGGAAAGAGAAGTCTTGCTTCTAGGTGCAAATGACTGTTAAAAACATGCTGTGGAGAAAAAAAGGTTTCTGAAACACAGCATTCTGTGTGTGTTTAGTGAAGTTGACTAGGAATATGCTCACTTTGGGTCCAGAAGAGAGTTAAGAACCATTTTTCAGCACCAGGTTACAATGGTGCCTGCAGTGGGCGTAGCAGGAAGATCCTCTGCTGTCTGTTAGATAATGCAGCTGTTTCTGAAGCAAGCACAGGGAAAGGTCCTGAGGGAGGTGGCTAGAAAAGCTGCTTAGATGAAAACATGTCCTCCTTTTATCTGCAATAATTCTGTAAATATGAGGCATAGGCAGCTAAGAGATACAGCTGGTGTGTGTTGATGTATGTCAGCCTGGTGTACCCACTTCTGAGGGTACATGTCAAACCCATGTTTTGCTCATGTTTGCAGCTTCAGATCTGAGCCATGGACAGTTTCCTTTTGGTCATCATTTACTTTCAATCAAATTAGATGAAGAGGTGGAGCTTGTCAAGTCTTTTGGTGGTAGAAGACAGGGATGGGGGACAAGACATCTTGAAAAAGAAGAGAGATTCCTTGTTAGTAGCTCTGTGAAGGGGAAGACTTCATAATGAACTGTCACATTTAAACACTGGAATATTCATGAAAGAACTTACTCTGGAATTCATGTTAGCTGCAAATTTATAGAAGACTAGGCTGCTTAAAGCCCAGTGCTCAGGGATGTGCTTTTGTTAAATGTGTCCTGTATAAATTTTCCAATCCTGCATTTTCTTTGCCTTTTTAAGGTTCAGCA